CCTAATATTTAATTTGCATAAAATGATGTAATCTTCTTACACGTTTAAGTTTATTACGTGAGGGTATGATTAATGTGAATATATTTGGTCTCTCAACACGTATGTAAAGCTAACAATTACATACATTAATTTGCAATAAACTTGGTAACAATTAACCGTAAATAGGCCCGAACGCAAGTTTGAACATTCACTGCAAAAATAAATTACTAATAAAAGAAAAAACTTTCCACGCATCTTGCGTNAAAATGTTCGAAAAGTTCCTCTCGTTTTGATATTTTGTACATTACACATAAAGCTTTTTAATTTCATTTAATTTCTTAATGCCGGTTGCTATATGTTTTCATTGTTTAGCTATTTTAAATCTTATTGAATGCTGCCATCTTGATTAGGATTCTTTTTTCTTCTACCATCTACTATACGCGATTATTTGCGGTGCTCGTACTGTCTGTTGTCCCACCTTTTAAGATGGATGGCAATGTAGGTTTCATGAATACGTGCCCTGAACACTACGAGTTCGAGTTAGCGGGGTTTTACTGTACTGTTTTACCGCTTTGGTCCAAAAATGCGGAAATGTATAATTAATGCAAAAATGCAAAATAATTAACGTTTGTGTATGCTATATTTGTAATAGCGATACAATGTATGGCATATTTTAAATATTTTCAACTTACTTACCAAATTGACTATTTTGTGTCGTTCTTATGTTAGGTCGACGAATGAACAACATATTACCAACAAACAGTTATACGATTACTGTTATGCTACGTTAGCGCTGTGCTTCATTTCGTTTATATCGATAATATAATTGAATTATGAGATTAAAAAGAATCCCCTTTCTTCACCTTATATACATAAGTTATAACATCTTGGTTCAATAATGAAAGTCATCTCGACCTATACTCTCTCAGCCTACTAAGGTGTGAAATTTGTGAACAGGTAAATAACACTTAACACACATGTGTCCAATGCTGACAGCAGGTAGCCAAAGACACACCTGTATACCTGTGGAATCAAAGGGCTGTCAGCAGGTTGGCTAGGGGGTACCTCAGTTCAGTTCAGCTCATAGGTTAAGTGTTAAACAGTTACATCAGTGTGGCTAATATTTTGATATTTTTCACGAGTGCGCAGCACGAGTTAAAAAATATCAAAATATTAGCCACACTCGTGAAATATATTTGTTATTACTGAAGACACCATTGGATTTTCTATTTATCTATTTTTAAAGCATAAAGCACGAAAAATGTAATACATTCACACTGTGAAAATATCACGTTTGATATTTGTAACAATGTGAAAGATATCAGTGCTGGATCCGTTGTTATGCATGTTGTGTATTACATGATCGATATATCGATTTATTCGCAATATTGCGGTTTCATTTTAATTTTACATGGTATGGTCAGTGGTTTGCTCCGTACCGACGGATCATGCACTTCGTACACATCGGATCATTTCGAAACATTACTCCGCACCTAACGGATTCTTGTGAAATTGAAGTTCTTGAAAAATAGGAAAAAATTGATATCGGATAACATTAACTTGACTTCCATATTTGCAAATGCTGCCGAAAACATATCTAATCGCACCTTTTGTTACGTAGCATAATACATATTAGATGATAAAACAGTACCTATATACAACAAGATCACGATATTTTTTTATTGAAAATCGTTTGATTAAATGCGGCACAGTGTGCCTGTCGTTTTGGTATGATTTCCATAATTCTGGTAATGTGATATTTGAACATTTCTTTTTGGTAAGAACTGTCTTAAAATATGTAAAAACTGACAACTTCAAATAATAATGTTTATGCGACTTTGCTGTCGGTGCGCACTCCGTACTATACCGATATGGGTACCTGCTATGGGTGCGCATAATGAGCAATTTAATCATTTCAATTGGCCTGACAAAAGAAATTACCGGTTCAAATTATTCCAAACAAGTCAAATCAAATAATGCAGTAACGACTTTTTTTATAGATTTATCCACACTTAGGATAAGTGTTGTTTTCAAATTTAAATAGAACTGAAAACAAAAATACTGATACCAAAAGTGACGGGTTAAATCCCTGCTAAATCCAACAGCTCCACAGTCAGGCCTGGCATGTTAAGCTGTTGGAGAGTGGAGAGAGATGGCACCATTGTGGAGAGTGGAGGGTATCTATGTACAATCCCTCCACGTTATGAATATGTGCTAGAGTTTTAAGCGTGGAGACCGTGTGTCGTTTTATGACTCTAGACNAAAATGACATGATGTAAGAGCCAGTTTAATGATGCGACTTTTTAGAGTCATATATTTGCAATGAAATCTACTATAATGTTCTGAAATCTGCTGATAAATCGCATGTATTCCTCCTATATGTATACATGTATATTTAATTTCCCATGTAACGTTACATATAGTCTAAAAGAGAGAGTTTTACTAAACAGATTTTGGTGTAGTTTTAGAGCACGTAAACATGGAACGCATAAACTTTCATTCAATTTGGTTTTCTCATAATCGCGAACGTAGATCACTTGAAAAGTAAAAACACCAAACCGTATAGTCATACCTACGTGTATACGTGAACAACTAATTTAGGTCTAATGCCAATAAAACTGTCACTGTCACGATTAAATCTGAATCGTGTGATGGTTTAAAATAATTGTTTCGTTGAAATATTGCTTTAGATGTCTGCTTTAGAATACAAGGACTAAATAGCATCTCCTTGCCTTACTGTTTCCTTACAATACTAGTCTAAACGACGTAGTCTCTCTTTAAGTATTCAAAGCATGAAAGCTCTGGCTTTTGGTCAGCCATGTATGTCATACGCACCTCACCCTATTATAAACACTCTACCGATCCTGTTTAATCTACATACCGTCATAACTAATGGTATTGTAAGGAAATATTTGGTGCTAGGCAGGGCGATGCACTTTAGTTCTTTTACTCCAAAACACAAGAAAATGTTTTTAAAGTAAAAAGGCATTGTTGGATAAGTATGAAAATTTCACAAATTAAATATCATCATGCAACTTATATATATGCTAAGTTGTATGCCTATCCCAAAATGCCTTTTATGTATAATCAACTCTTATTATCGGAAATAAGCAGAACAATTGTTATTGAAATGAAATGGATTAAATGTAGCCTGTTTCCTTGAGGCTAGGAGACTTAACATTACCAGCAAATCAAACTCCATGTATTAAATTAATCATTGTGGTGGCAAATGCCATTTTTAATTTGTAAGTAAACATTGATAAGTAAGAAAATAAATTAGAGCTGGAACTCACTTCAGCCAAAAGGTGTGGAGCAAATATTATATGATTTGTATAAAATACAGTATTAACTATTGATATCTTATACTTATAGCATATAAGAGGTGTCATACACCTTTTAATTCACTTAAGATTGAGAGATATTTGTAATTGCCAAGTTTGAGATGTGTCCAGAAGCCATAGCTCAGTATAAAATAAAAGGAAAGTGTGTTATGCATATGCATTTTATGTCAGTGTACTCAAATGAGTAAATTTGTAAATTTCAACTCAAAATACAAAGAAGGAAATTATTGAGGAAACAAAACACTTTTCATTTGTAAATTACCTAAAACAACCCCCTGACTTAATCCTCCGTTTTCTAAAAACAATCTTTATGTGACGATTACATTTCTGTATTTTTTTACTCCTTTATGTATGCCTGTTTAATTTACATATGTTTCCAAAAACAACAAAATGGTATTATTTTGGTGTTTTAGCTCATTTTGAAAACAGCAAATTGTATTTGTGAGTTACCCCTACCCCATTTGGTACCCCAAAATCCCACTTTCGGTCAAACGTTTACCATAGTTTTTTCGCATGTGATACATTAAGACATCTTTGAACAAATGTAGGAGGTGAAAATCCGGATATACCGGGCCCAAAAAAGGGCCTTATTGACACTCATCCTTCACTTAAATACTTTCAACAACAATTTTTCTTCCAACACTGGGGACAAAAAGAAACGTTCCGGTGCAACATACTACCTGTGTTCGTTGGAGGATCGGTTATAAATGCCCTTTTGCCATGACATTCACAGGTAACACCTCTGAGGTTATTGGTTCACCTGTTCATAGCATTAAGTGGTAAAAACTACACTACAGGTAATTAGCATACCTTTTCATTCACAGGTAAGATATTTAGGTGTGTAAACTGTGTATTACTATCTCTCATCTAAAAGTTACAGTTTACATTGAACGTAGTTGATGCAGGCACGGAATTAGATTTCCCTGAATCAGGCTTGAATGTATAACTTCTCTTTTGGAGATTTGATATCTTAATTTGTCGATTGATGATTTTACCCATACACCATACTTATTATACTGGTTGCTGTCATTTCTTAGACTGTTTTGCAGATAATATCTACATATGTACAGGGGGCGTGTCAGAAAGGGTACGCGTAATGAACAGAATATCGCATAAGTCGTGCCACTGTGACGTCACATATCACGTGACCTCGTATCGAGTTTACAATCTGCATACAAACTAGGCCGATATAGATGGGGTATCACCTGGCCTGTCTATCATCTGAGTACCGAGTGAGACGGGGTCGTCTCGGTCACTATACGTATTATTGCATCAAATTACCGTAAAATATGAAATTATGAAAAGTGGTGGCCAAAATCCTTTAACACATGTTTCAAAAACAGAAATGGTATCATGATGGTTGTTTTAGCTCATTTTGAAAACAACAAATTATATTTGTGGTTTACCCTACTCCTTTTGGTACCCCAAAAAGCTACTTTCGGTCAAAGTTTTGCCTTAGTTTTGTTTGCATGTAATACAATAAGACATCTTTGAACAATATCCAACTAATTCATTATCATGATATTTACTGATGTGTTCATAATGCCACGCATTTACTGATATAGGGGCACAACAAACATTCCGATTTGTCTCTCAATTGATAGAGTCGAGCTATTTCTGAATAAGTGGTCATGCGTTGAACTCGCTGTAACAACTATTGACATAGTTATCTCACCCCTTTCAACGATTAATCACATCTCTCCTCACACCCTTCACCATTAACACAGCAACAGAAGCAACATATATTTCTAAGTTATAATTACCAAAACATTGTTCGGACGTCTGGTCACATGTCTCACAATACGAAGAACAGTTGGTATCGCATAGTGCGCCTGTTTTACCAGTAATGCATCCTGAAAATAAAGACAATCATATTGGAGATATGCTTAGGAAAAAAATGTCATATACAAAAAAATAAAATAATAAGTATCAGGTTAGAATACTACTTGTCGTGGTGTAACGTGGTCGGGTCTATCTCTATCAAGGCCTATGATTTGTAGTAGGATAGCCAACCCTTCCCCCTTGGTCAATAGGGTCTCTTCTTAGCCCCTGGTCAATGGGGTCTCTTCAGCCTCTGGTAAGCAAGGCTACTCTAAACTGGATACTACTTTGAACCCACTCAGTGACAGTGAACAAACGCCAAATGAACAGTTCTATAATGTTTATTTATATGCATAGGAGTACTGGAGCCATACGAGCATGACAGTTGCAAGGTTAATGCAAGTCGATATCAACGTATCTCACTCTTGTTCTGTACATATATACACTAAAACTTCCAATATGGCTCAGTTTCACTATTATTCTGACTTATAAAGTAAATCTGACATATAGATATCAACAATAAACCTTATTTGTTTCAATTCTAGCAGTAGGAATTATATCTGACTGAAGTTCGTTACGGTTTCTAATGTAAACATTGACCTACATTTTATACGACTTTGACGTCACTTTACCATAAGCGATTACAGGGAAATCCCTTTTAAAAATAGTTTGATAGATAGATTAAATGACAATAGGCTATATCCCTAAGAAAAATAGGAAGTGAATCACGCTCCAACCTGGTAAGCGGTTCCGATATCTTAAAACCGTGTGTACTCACCGGCTGCTGAGTCGTGACTGCCGATGTTTAGCAATAGTCCCGAAAATAACGGGACACCGTCCCGAGAAATTCACGTGCCGGGACTCTAATATGATTGGTTGACATGCACACAATGTGAAAATGTAAACCTCCGGCCTCGGACATGCGCACTGCATTACCGGAGAACAACATGTTGTCGAAATTAAACATATGAACAAGATCGACTGAAAATGACAAACTACACGACTAAATGACGACTGACCAGGTAATTCTTATAGATGCGACTAACCTATGATATATGTAAATGTTTAATTACCGCGATTCTCATTGACAACTATTATAAAGTACGTTATTATTGGAAACTAAAATGCTAGACGCACGTCTAAAATCGCCATGTGTCGGTAGTACTAAAGTCCGATTTAACAGAACGAGCCAACGATGCTGGGGAACACAATAACAATCAAAGATGGTCCTGAATATAAACAACGTTAACATAGTGGCGTTACAGTGGTACTGTATACAAAATATATGTGAATGAGGTAATTAAATTTAAATCGACACTCCAAATCAGTCAACAAAATTTAACCCATATTCGAAAAATGCTGCATCAGAAAGAGTTCACAATGCCGTAACACACCTTCGTATTAAACTTGAGCAAACTTGGACTATTAATCAGTTAAAGAAACATCAACAGTGATGTGTAATAGGGCTTGCTGCTATCCGTTTGTCGGTAAGGTACTCCCAACCCATCCCAATACAAATATACATTTCCCCCATAAAATACTTTATCCTGATTTGGTACGCATACATTATTATTGGTTAACCAGTTTAAAAGTCTGTGTTACATTTATCACTGCCACTTTGACAATTTAATCATTGCACATAATGATCTACTTACCAGTACAATTTCCGTTGTTCTTCATGCATGTTTTGTCTTTACAGTTGTCAGAGCAATCACTTGCACACTCATTACCATGTTTTCCAGGAACACATTCTATTGAAATAATGATATGTTCTAAAAAAACATCCAATAATAAATACACTGATGTATGATCAGACCCGTGTTGAGGGTTCATTCGATTTGTTGTTTCGATGTTGTTAATTAAGAAAGTGTATAGAAATTTAAGAGATATATGTGTTTTCCATACAAACGGTAAATAGATTATCTGATATGATGTTCATTATAGAACTCTAAGGATTAATGTGCAAAATCGATACACAATAATTATTTTGCTGTAGGTATATCTATGATCTATGATGTTGATTCCAACTTGTTACCTAGGCAATATCCATTGTCCTTCATGCATGATTGGTCTTTACAGTTGTCAGAACAATTGAGGTCACACACGTCTCCGTGTTTTCCGTTTACGCATTCTGTAATATAAACATATAACATGATTTTACAAATATTCTAAATAAGTGCCGAGTATTGGCGAAAAAACAAAACATTATACCAATATATATTGACGGCTTTGAGGAATACATCGGTAACCATGAACGGTTACACGCACAGTCAATATTACCGTGTGAATTCAAGTTTTGGCTCAATACTCACGGAAGAATATTGGTCCAATCTCCAGTGGTGGTAAAAAGAATGTGTGTGTGGAATGTAAGGTGTGTGTGTGTGTGTGTGTGAAGGGGGTAAATAAATCAATAAGGTGCAATTCCATCATTGACATGATTGATACTCCTTTGGGATTATGGGATTTCCTCCCCCATTCTAAATGATCTCTTAAATATGGGAAAGAAGAATATATTTAAATGGCATGTCGAGAAAGACTGCAAAACCAAGAAATCACTTTCACCATACGATTTCGTCCATTTAAGTATCATCAATCCTTGGTATTAAGGGTCAAAAGGTTGGTAAACAAGGTCAGGTGAATATACTTCATTTGTAAGTCATGGTGGACGAGTGTCGTTTTGAAAGTGATGTGTTAATAGTGCAAAAAAGGGATAAAGGAGTAAATGTATTCTCTACATATATGATTTAATATTAAGTAATACAAATACAATATTGACAAATATTTCAAGTTGAATTCAAATTCTTTAAATTAGGACGTAGTTGGTATCGCATAGTGCGCCTGTTTTACCAGTAATATATCCTGAAAATAAAGACAATCATGCTGGAGATATGCTTAGGGGAAAATGTCATATACAAGAAATAAAATAATAAATATCAGGTTATAATACTACTTGCCGTGGTACTGTATACAAAATATATGTGAATGAGGTAATTAAACTTAAATCGACTCTCCAAATCAGTCACCAAAATTAACCCCTTATTCGAAAAATGTTGCACCAGAAAGAGTTCACAATGCCACAACACACCTTCGTATTAAACGTGAGCAAACTTCGACAATAAATCAGTTGAAAAAATAAGAAAATAACCCCAAAATGAGTGATGTGTAATAGAGCTTGTCGCTATCCGTTTGTCGGTAAGGTACTCCCCACCCATCCCAATACACACATACATTTCCCCTCATAAAATACCTTCTCCTGATTTGGTACGCATGACCTATTAATGATTACCCAGTTTAAAAGTTTAAAAGTTTAAAAGACAATTTCATCATTGTACATAATTCACTAATAACCTGTATACTTTCCGTTGTTCTTCATGCATGTTTTGTCTTTACAGTTGTCAGTGCAATCACTTGCACACACATTATCATGTTTTCCGGGAACACATTATATTGAAATAATGATATAATCTAAAAGCAAATCAAACAATAAATACACTGATGTATACAGAGACCCGCGTTGAGGGTTTATTTGATTTTTCGATTCGATATTGTTTATTTAGAACGGGTTTAAATATTAAAGAAATATATGTGATTTCTATATTTTCCTATGCCAACAGTCAAGAGATTATATGATTTTCATTATAGAATCCTGAGGATTTATATGCAAAATTGATGTATAATAATTATTTTGCTGTAGGTATATCTATGATCTATGATGTTGATTCCAACTTGTTACCTAGGCAATATCCATTGTCCTTCATGCATGATTTGTCTTCACAGTTGTCAGAACAATTGAGGTCACACACGTCTCCGTGTTTTCCGTTTACGCATTCTGAAATATATGAGTATTTGGGAAGAAGATAAAATATTATATGAATATTTATTGACGGCCTTGAGGAATACATCGGGAAGAATGAACGGTTACACGCATAGTCAATATAACCACGTGAATTCAAGTCTGGGCTTTACAATTCTTTCGGAAAATTAGATGTTCAATCTCCAGTGGCGGCAAACAGAATGTGTGTGTGGGAGTAGAGGTGGGGGTGGGGGTAAATAAATCAATAAGGTGTATTGGAAATCCACCATTGACATGATTGATACTCCTTTGTGATTATGGGATTTCCTTCCCCATATTAAATGATCACTTCAATACGAAAAAGAAGAATCTATTAAAATGGTATGTCAAGAAAGACTATATGGCGATTTCGTCCATTTAAGTCTCATCAATCCTTGGTATTAAGGTTCTAAAGGTTGGTAAACAAGGTCAGCTAAATACACTACATGTGTATGACATTGTGGACGAGTGTCGTTTTGAACTTGATGTGTTAATAGATCAAAAAAGGGATAAAGGAGTAAATGTATTCTCTATATATATAATTTGATATTAAGTAATACAAATAATATATTGACAAATATTTCAAGTTGAATTCAAATTCTTTAATTGGGACGTAGATCTTACGTCTTAAATGGTGCACCGTAGGTAATATGAGTTTGAATGAGATTTTATAACTGAGGTGTTACCCACAGTCAAACTGACGAAAAATAGTGATTGAAAGGTTACCTTCAGAAATATTTGACCAATATTAGAATGCGTAAGTTTTGTGTGGCAAAGTGTATTGTTGTGAATAAAAGAACAAATAAAGCAATGTACATTTTTTACACTAGGGAGCATAATGAAAACAAAAATATATTTTCTATCACAGAAGAAATAAGAATGTCCCCCAATGCAATTTTAGTAAGAGCTTAAACTAATCACGTTGTTTTTATGAAAACCCCTTGCTGTAAATTTGTCCGTTAGCAGTCGACCTTTATCACGGAAACCCTGATATATAGTGCAAGCTTTTAAATACCGAATCCATCGTGACATGTAAACACCGTAAAACGGAAAAACACTAATATAACTATCAAAAAGAGAAAGTTGACAGAAAGAAGTTGTTATTGCCATGCTAAGTATAGCACCAAAACGATTTCCATTCCTCTTTGCGCAATAATAGTCTTACAGTTGTCAGTACACACATTACCGAGTTGTCCAGGAACACATTCTGTTAAAGGAATTATATTAAAACACAAAATTATTTGGCAAAAGTACAATTAAACTGAACGTTGTTAGAACTCAGCGTCTTATTACGTTAAAGCACGATAAACAATCAGTGATAGTAATAAATATTCATTTTGATTGAAAACGGAGTGAATGAGTATATATATCTAAAACATAACTACAACTTCAGTAATTAAAAAAAATAAAACGGGGCTTTACGCCTGAATGCCGTCTTAATGAACCTGCGGAATTACACCGAAAAAGACAATAAAAAGTAATTGGGAAACAAATCGATGATAAAGATCGCGCAAGGGCGGTCATCAATGTAACCAGATAAGTACATTCACGGGTGTGAGGTGGCGTTTAACATTTGAATAATCTATCGAGTATAATGCATACATCATTTGCTAGTGGATTCAACTGTTAACATTAATTCAATAATGCCATGTATTTAGTAATATAGGAACCGTTTGGAAATTTCAAGTTGTCTTTCCGAGTGATGTAATCAACCGTAAACAGATACAATGCTTCGTCGCATAAACTGTTTAGCGCGCAATTGTTGCGGACAACAATATATTTATCAAAACTATGAAAATATAACTTTTTTATATATTGTAATGTTTGTTTTCTATTAAATGGCAAAGCTTTGACGCCCTGTTCCGTTATTTGTGTGTAGCAAGATACATACAGTTATATCTTTAGAACGACTTCTTTTCTCTACATGGAAATAATGCTCTTACGTCACACAACCACGTTCTTGTGGGTTTGAAATACTTTTAAAAAATATATCCTAAACATCATTTATTCTTTGTCTGGAGAAACCTTCTATTACGGAAGAGCATCACGTAAAAACAAGTGTCGTTTTTTGAATTAATAACCCTAAATTTTAAGATAATAACTGAACATTTCAAGATAATAACTCGAAATTTCAAGATAATAACTCGAAATTTCAATATAATAACTCGCTATTTCGAACTAAGTCGAAATTTCGAGATAATCATAATTGTTTAAACCATAGTCAGTTCAATCTAGATCATTGGGTAAACCGGCAAAAGTATTTGGTCTTTTATTTTATAATTTTATTGATTTTAAATTTAAAACTCATTTTGTAAACTAGCTCTGTTTCTCGGTCTAAGTAAAGGAGAAAGGCTAACCATTGTCCAATCATGTAAGAAAATGAACTGATCGCAGCCCGTGGGGCCGATATTTGTTCATTCTCTCAAAAATATTCACACAACGAACATTTCATGTTAAACAGTTTATGCAGTTTTACAGTCACCATAGTAAGCGCATTATTGTGCCTTGTGATTCTGTTGTCACTAACTTCGTTCTGCTATTATTAACGTGAAATTGATACAATTATGTGGTTTCGAATATTTGTTTTGATTTCCTAGATGGAACGTTTAATATTTTCTTGACTAAACAATATGAATTGAATTCCATAGTGTACTGTCTCTCGGACAAACAAATCAAACCCGTTGCTCCTGCATTCAACATGTGTTCCACAATCCCCGTACCGGAAGTACCCTCAACAGTACAATACACTATAAACCAAATGTTTGGTCATTAGATCCGGAATGCAAACACTAAACATGCATTTTATAACGATTTTTTTTTGCGTTTATTATCAATATTCAAACTACACAGTGCAGTTCTACTCACCAAAACATTGGTCAGATGTCTGTTTACATGTCACACAATGCGAAGAACAGTTGGTATTACACATGTCACCTTTTTTACCAGGAATACATCCTGAAAAGAAATATAATAAAACAAATTGAGAGGAAGGGGCTCAAATAACTTTTTTTTTTAGTTTATCTTTAACACAAAAACAATAACTACACGGTGAGATTACTGTATAATATACCAAAACGTTGTCAGATGTCTGTTTACATGAAGACATAACCCACTCCGTCCCCATTTTTCTAATACCCTTTGCCCGTGAACTTATGGGTTTGGGGTTTATGAAATAGCTTTTAGGCGATTTTTAACCGGATACCGTGGCTCCCAGATCTGCACATAGTGTTGACAACTTGTATATATACATTTGAATGATGTATCTATAAAACACATACATATGTATATCCCCCTTTGTTCGTAAATTGTATCTTTCTTTGAACTCATATACAATTTACCCATATATTTTACATACACACATATAAAATACCTCATTCCCTATGAATGAATTCGACCCTAATGCAGTTCAATGTTTTCTACGTACTTATATATGTATATTGATCATACGAGAACAATACCCTGCGTCCTTTTCACAAATATTGTCTTTAAAATTCGTCGGGCAATCGTTGTTAGAGTAATAACCATACTTTCCAGAAAAAACAATATGAATGAAAAAGAAATGTTAAAACTACTACAGCCTTATATACAATATATCAGATATATACTGAACAAAAAAAGAAACGCACAATTAAATTATGCAATCAATAGCCTATGATATTTTGGGAAATTTGTACAAAATTTTATAACAATATGAAGGTAAAAGTGTACTCTTTACAATACTATAGAAGAAAAGTCTGTGTGACGTCGCTCGTGTCATCAGTAGTTACTCAAAGTGGGATACCCGCGAAAAACAAAATTACACTTCAGTACCTGGTGTGGGCACCTTTTGCACGAATCCCTGCACGGATTCTCCTACGCATTGAATTCATGAGAACATGTATTCGCTTTAAGGGAATGTTGTTCCATTCTTGTGTTAATGCTGCGATCAACTGGGCGCGGTTAGTTTTTTTTTTTGACGTTTCCTAATACGCCTGTCCAGCTCATCCCACAGATGCTCAATGGGAGACAGGTCGGGGCTATATGGGGGCCATTCCAGAGGCTGAACGTTGTTTGCCGTGAGAAAATCACGACAGACTTTCGCAACATGCGGTCGAGCACTGTCGTGCTGGAAAATTAGGTTATGACGTCTGAGAAGTGGAAGGACATGTGGTTGGAGGATCTGATCTCTGTATCGAACGGCATTGCGGTTTTGATCCAGGACAACTAAGGGGGATTTTATTCCATGGGAGATGTCTCCCCAAACCATTACAGAAGCCCCACCGAATCTATCGCGTTCAACCACGCATGCGTCGGCGAAACGCTCACCGCGTCTGCAATATACCCTTTTTCTTCCGTCTGAGCGATACAGACAGAATCTAGACTCGTCGGTGAACATCACACGCCTCCATCGACGAATCCCAAACCTATTCGGGCCGTGTCTGCGCATCCAGTCAAGACGCACTTGCCGCCTCCGTGGTTTTGATGAAAAATATTACGGTATAAACTGCCTCTACTAATTGTTTTTTAATAGAGGAAAAATGTCGGGATATTCGTATGGTTGACCATTATAACATCGTACCTTCTATTTAGAGTGGGCCAAGACGCAGTTACTGCAGATATTTCACGATCCCAATCGGTTGCCTGAGATCGTGAGTTCGAGACCTAGGTTTTGTTCAGTGATGAACAGTTGTTTATACCAAACAGTTAACCCTGGTTACATATTTAAGCGAGTTATACATATTTAAATACTGAAGCAAGAACAGTTTCACGAATAAGGGTAACCGACGGAGAACGAGTTAAAACTTGTCTTCTATCGTAAGTTGTTTCACTGTTACATATATCCGTATTTGTTTTTGCAATTTGAGCTCTGTATGTCATAGTGTACTGAATATAAGAGGGTCTTTAAACAAGCGAAACAAATGCCTAGATATATCTTGGTTTTCTTTTTAATATCTCTTTTAAAAGGGATATAACAATAATATTCACAGATATTTGGAAGTATCTATATATACATATAATCAAAGATAAAACAAAGTGTGATTAATTATACTGATACAATGTACACTGTAAGTCAGTTACTAGCGAACATAGTGTCAATTAGATGTAAATACATGTATATGCATTTGAATGATATGCATTTGAATGATATGCATTATCCTCTTTGTTCATACATTGTGTATGTCGTTTATAGATATAAACATATATTACCTGATTTCATATTGAATGCCTTTCAACCTAATGCAACTCATTATTTTCTACGTATGTATATATTATTCATACCAGAACAATATCCAGTGTCCTTCTCACAAGTGCTGTTTTTACAATTCGTGGAGCAATCGTTGTTACAGTAATCACCATACTTTCCTGGAAAACAATCTGAAAGGAAAAAAATATTCTTGTTACGAGAGCTTAGCAATGCTAATTGTGATTTGAATTATTGTTGTGTTCAGAACGTAATCCCCTCTTCTAAAAAAGTAATTCTATTAAATTAGCCTTTTACCATAATGTCTTACGTATTGCACGTGGGCTATACGTTTTGTTCTCCTTGAAAATGCCCTTTGCGGGCTTTCTGACAAAACGATCAATGGGAAAAACAATTTTCATAAAAGCTATAAATAAATGCAGGCTATCTTTCAAATCAAATTTCCTTAACATGATATTTGCATGTGTGTGGAAGCAACATGTACAAAATGCTGGTTTATGTTCACTTTAAACGTATTTAAAAAACATAGTCAGGCTTCGATATTTATCGGTTATGGTGATGGAAGATCCATGTAGGGCTCAATTTTAAATAGTAAAACGTGTCTTCACTTGATCTTGCATAATCTCTCACATAGATTGAAGCCTTTAAGGTCGAATAGCATGCTATTTAGTTTATAGGTCCACATGACGCATATGTATAGATTTCTCAAGGAAGATATTTTTTGTGACATGTAAACTAAAACATTTGTTAGTTCATTTTTCTTCCTGCAAAATTACGTAATGTTGATTTTTGAGTTACAGATAGATCATGTAATAAAGATAGGTTCAGTGATGTTTTAATGTGTGTGTGTGTACTAGAAACTTACAAAAGCAGGAACCGGTTGTAGAGTTACAGTTACCACCGTAACAGTTTCCGGAGCACTGGCTGTTACAGTCACCATCACCGTACCTCCCTACTTGACATCCTGACACAAACAAACAATTCTATTAAACTACACTAGCAATTTTATAAGATTCTAGAACACAATAAAATTTACACTGAAAATCCGAAGGTGGTACCATAAGAATAACGGGACCCATATCGGACACGGTTACTTGACCGGAGTCACATATATAGCATGCGTCTTGGCTGATATACCGCGGGGTCTCGAACAAAAGTACACGGGCGTGCCCTGCACGTTCGAGCGGGAATTTGAAACGTTCTACCGTATCTCGACCAAAACACTAATTATCTAATTAACCTATGTATTTATTAATTATTTGTTTTCTCATCTATTGTAAACTACAGGTTTAATTGTATACAACTAAAAGAAATAACAATAGTAACCTCACTACCAGCATATTTAACAAAGTGGGTGAAAGGGATTGCAAGAATATGTTCAGATATAGAGTAAGGATGTGATGTTAACGGTATAAAATCGACAAAGAATGAGGTATGCGAGTTGAGAGTGGACAATTGTTGTAAACTAAATAATAATACTTTAAAAAGGGAAAATACTGATTATGAAAAATTAATTAAAAAAAAGGAAAAACATTAAAACAAAAGAAAGAAAAAGAAGTACAATGATAAATGGCTCGGTGTCAAGCACTATATTTACGATATAGAGCTAACAAAATATAATAATGAGTTTAACAACCACATGCATACTAACTACTCACATACTAACAAAAAAAAGTATGCTAAATAATTGCAATGCCTTATTATAATAATTGTAATAATTAGACAACCATAGTGAAGAGCCAAATCTGAGTACCAAAGAAAAAATAGTTTTTTTTTTACACTGAGTAATAATAAATATATCTTGATTATCAGGGTCAGCTCTCAGATAAACACTACATATACTGCAATTATCGGTTGACCCAGCAATCTAGATCTTATATATGTTCAGAGTCAGGTATGATAATTACTGACGTCGTTTTATTATCATTACTCTAGAATATCAGGTTAATATTTAAAGGTTTTTGTTTTTAGAACACTCTGTATGTATTTGGAAGTATCACTTGTTCTGTCAGCAAATCTAAAGGGGCATTTGTGCTGCGCTTCAAAGTCCCAACACCAACAGTGTAAAGCTGCGCGAGTCCAAATATGTTGCTTAGCCTTGAAACAGTACGAATCTACTTAAAAGTCGTTAGCATAGGGTATGTGATTGTCATTGTGTAAGGTAATAATATATGGAAATGGCTATATCTGTTATCTTTTGATATAACAATAATGGCTAACACTGCATAACGTGTGCATAATGTTTAATTTAAATGATAGTGTATGACGGACCTGCATTAAGATAAAAAATGGTGTATACTATTCAGACACTCTTCCAAATTGAAGACAGCGAGAAATGATGTTCAACTCCTTATCCGCAGGAATGTTAAGTTCATGCTCCTTTAACTCAAAGATACAGATAAACCAAACAGCATTTAACGTTTAAAATGGCAATCGAACTTGATATTAAATAACAAAACTACGAAAAGGTGGCAGTGAAACTAACATGTGCACATACGTGTAAAGGTCACTCATTAATTAAACATTGAACAATCAGAAAAGAGATATTTACTTTTTTTTTTTTACACAAAATCAGACTTAAAGGATGCTTAACACTTAAAACTTTTTATAAACATCAACAAAGCATGATTTAAAATATACATCCTTTCTTTTAGACAGGAATCTAACAATGCGTATCATGATATTTTTAGTTTTCGCAGGCATAATATTAATCCGAATTATTCTGACGTTTGATCGACATTTTTTATACCTCGATTAACGTCAGAGCTCCGTCCCTCTTTGATATGCGGGAAATCAGCGACCCGCGCCAGGGTCGCTCTTCACACTGATATTTTAAAAACAAATCGTCACTTTCACACACATGTCACACATGTATCGAACGATCTATTCTTTATGCACTATGTGGTATCAATAACATGTTTCAAAGATCATTACGAACAGTATTTTCCAACCTTTTATATACCAACCCATGTTTTAAAAGGAAATTAGGGCACGGGCCATGTCACATAACTTGACGAGATCTCGCGTTACCGAAGTTATTCCCAGCTTCCGTCGAGTTTTTAGTCACGTGGCATTAGAAGGCGGGGCTATCAAAAACGTAAAGTAAAACAGAGTAAGTTTGAAAAAGTATGTTTTTAGTTATTGTATTTGTTGTTTGAGACATGTTATGTATGTTCATCTTGTGCATGCTTTCGATCCATGTGTGACATGTGTGTGAAAGTGACGATTTGTTTCTAAAATATCAGTTTGAAGAGCGACCCTGACGCGGGTCGCTTATTTCCCGCATGTTATAGAGGGCCGGAGGTCTGACGTTAATCGACGCCAGACCGATATAAAAAAAGTCGATAAAACGTCAGAATAATTTGGACTAGCATAATATAAGATAATAAGTCAGAAGCCTTTCGTCGTATTAAAATTTGATTAAACAATTATAAATATGGCACACGATACATATATGTAACTCCAGATACATGTATTATCAAAGATAAAATACTTACCAAATACCTGCACCTCACATAACTCGAGAACGGCATAATCATAATACCAGGTGTACCGTTTGGGGTTGTTCCTATAATTGTAGACGATCACGTACCGAGCTACATACGGGCACTGATGTGTCACCAACAACTGTACCTGAGCTTTAGTACTACTCTTGTCCTCGAAACAAAGGACACTTTGTGTAGGGCTCTCGGTGGTGTTAGACAAGTAGAGCTGATATCCGGCGAATCTATTTTGATATAGATCTATAACGAGGAACAATGACGTGTTATTGTTATATTGATACATTAGATAAAAGAAACAGGCCAATAGGCAAAACATGTATATGCCCTCTCCATATATGCTTCAATGCATTACAATCATGGAGAGTTTGCGATGTTAGAAGAAAATATGTAGAAGGTAATTAGTCGACAAGGCAAAGGAAGGTAACCAGCTAATGATGAGGTATAATCTCCCTTTAACTACCTATCTACCATTTATAGATTACACCGATAACATAAAAAAATACCAACAGGTACTTTACTGTGAAAATCAGCTATCTTTGACAAGTCGTTACGAAGATACATTAATTAGTTCAAGAAAATCCCCACATATTCCGTTATACATCGTTGCAAAGATAACTGAATAACGGACATGTGTTGGAAAAAAGCTCATACATAGTTCATTCAGTTTCATGAAGGCTTCAAATAAACATGGTATTTTAATCGTTTACAAGATATCCAATAAGAACGCCATGTCTTCTGTAGCATCTGTCACTCATACAATGGCTTTACGGATATGGGCAAAAAGAACGTAATTATTAGGTTCAGAACCGTGGCTTGTGTTGATTCTGAGCCCAACTTATAAATCCGAAAGTAATATTTCATATCCTACAAACTGACTGGTCCCTTGTTACTATCTCTAAAGTTTCCCGCGGTTTTATAGCGAACAATTTAACCACGAATATAGACCCCTATCCAGCTTCCGACACATTTTGATATACTAGCTACCGACACATTATGATATATCAGCTAGCGACACATTATGATATACCAGCTAGCGACACATTTTGATATACTAGCTACCGACACATTATGATATACCAGCTAGCGACACAATTTGATATACTAGCTACCGACACATTATGACATACCAGCTAACGACACATACAAAGAGCAAGGCAAAATAAATATATCAAGAAATACATGAAGATTAAAATCAAAGTAGTAGGCAACACTTAAGTGTCTTAAGTATTCTTTTTTTATCACATAATCGGTCTGTTATCCAGGGAATTTGCCCATATAATATTTTTACAGATGTCACTAGTGTAATATACCATGGAACGTTTTTCATTGGCTGTGCCAGTCAGAAATCGTTGTGAAGTCATAATATGGACAATGAAGCGACGTCATAAATTGTGAATGGCGCAACAAAATGGCTGTCTCCGCTTAATTAAGCCCTCAACATTTTGGCTTTAAAACCTGTCAAAATGTAAGTGTTCTGAGTTGTGTGATAAAAAGTATCTTAAATTTGTTTTCATTTCATATGAGCTTTTATGAAACTCCTCTCGAAGTTTAAATCTTTACTCGCCAAGGCTCGAAAAAATAAGAACTCCTTAGACACGTTTCATAAAATCTTATATGGAATGTAAACTCAATTTAGATCCTATATGCAAAATAAATGCATGATTTATTAATCAACCACAATTACTTTATCGTATCAGAAATTGATATTGAAAATTAATTCAATTATATTCCCCCTCGTTGTTGTCGTCCGAATATAAAACAATTAAATTCAAATGATTGCACAAGACATAAGTGGGATAATACATTGTAGCTCGTTGTTCATTTTGGATAAAAGCTCGTTGCTCATCCATTTATTACATTCTACAATCAACGACTATTCAACACCTATCCACTAATTTATATCCCTATTGGCCGACACATTTCTAAGTATATTCGCATTTGAGTATGTACATATTTACAAAATACATCCTAATTAAAATATTATATTACAACATTAACATAAACAGTTATGGAGCATGCTTCCTATATAAACGTGTGTATTAGATTGTCAAAGTATGACTGTATTTATAAGACATTTATTTGTGTGATGCAAAATAAGAAGTTTTCCCCATGGTTTATTGCACTACATACGGGTTCTCGTGTGACGTAACAGTCAGCTGCACGGAGAACTGAAAGGGAAATTAGCCAGACAGGTGGTGTCGAGAGATTGTGGGGAAATTGATGATAGTGTGCACCGTAAGGGTGAGTGACGATATTTTAAACACACTGTACAATTTTACAATAGGTGTATATAACTGTCAAATATTGTGAATGTATATTTTGTGCAGAATAACGTGATATTTCATGTGTGAGCTACGGCAATGATTTGTAACATTTGCGCTGCGGAGAAAAGCTAGCAAAACTCACTGGATGGAATTATTAGCGGTCAAGTTAGGATTTCATTTGTAAATAACTATGAAACTAGGTACTGGTTGTGTATAAAGTTACATGTTAGTGAATAAAAAATAGTTGAACCGAAAATCGACTTACGATACCGGAAGCGGTGTATCGCTGTTTGTTTACATTGGAGACTGTGCGAGGCAATTATAGTTATAGGTTGTTTGGTTTGTTTGATAGGCATTGCCAGTCATGGGCTAAGCCTCCGGTGGGACGCCTGACCAGGATATGGAAAACGATATGTACAGCAGAGAGAGACGGGCACTAGGGATTGGGTGGACTTAAGCAAAATCAGACGACAGATGACCTTGACCTTCGTCAGGCTGATCAGCAGATCAACAATACTCGTCGCAGCTAGACACACGGAACTTCCCATAACCGCCCGTTGCAGCATGTGTTGTCGTACTACGTCATGTGCAACACTATTTATGTCAGTGCTTTAAAGTGACTGTGTGAACCCAGTGAATTCAGGGACTTGGACCTCCAGACTGTGCTGTAAGTTCTACATGTCTTTACTTTAAGTTATGATTGGTATCTTGGAACTCTGAACTGTTTCAATAGCACCCTGTATTATTAGATCAGAAATATAACTGGCTGACCTAAATATTAACATAGACATATATGTATGGCCTTGAACTGTATATGTTTGCCTTATCATCTCGAGTGAACTGAAGGGAGAACTTTACCATTGCACAGTGGTTACTGTTAATTATTACAGTGGTTACAGTTAATTATTGAAACATGAACTTTACATGTTGAATTATCAACATGTTGTTAGTTTTTATTTTAATTGTTCTGTATTTTGTTTCCCAGTATTTTCATACATGTACAAAAGACCGCGAGGGCATCACGACATAGATCATCACTGACAAACAACCCCGATACCTCTCCACCGGACTATTTACCCGAGTACTTACGTAAACAACCGAAGTTAATTTCATTGACTGTTATTAGATCATCATTAGCATGCTGTTTTTAACGTTCAATTGGTCTTCTTTATAAAAAAAGTCAAGTGCTTTGAGTAACGAAAAAAATACCAATTTGTAAAATTAGACTTCGAACATGAAGCGACATTCGTTTTGAAACAATATCATACACACTTTTAACATATTTTAAGTTAAGGTACAGCTGTGTGACCGCACAGCGCACTAAACTAGTGTGCACAATCACACATACATCGTGCACACACCTCCCGCAAATCGTTTGCACATAGTGTACACAACCGTGCGGTTAACAATCGCTCGCCCCGTTGTGCCCTTCTAAACCATATTTATGTGCATTTCGGTACAATTGGTTGATCAATATTACGGAATGAAAAAACATAGTAAAGGCTCGTATGTAACTTCTGATCACTATAATTTACATTATGTCCATTTTTAACAATCGGTGTTAAGCAGTATTACAAATGATTTTAAACTGTCAAGAATGGGACCTGACCCCAATGTAACAGAACAGGTAAATAACATAATTGATAAGTTACCGGAGTTTAACCTGACCTGTGCCTGACACAGAAAGATGATCCGTGATACCTTATGACCGCTATGAAACATATAATTAGACGTTGTTAAGTATTTGTTATTCGCACTCGTGTCGGTCTATAACTCCCATTCGCCTGCATTTGTACGTATACACATCGACGATTTACGTAAGTGCTCGGGTGAGGAAAACAGCGGTCCAGGTATTTACAAAGTGGCCATGTTTAACTGTGTAAGGGACCTTGTCCATATATGAAAACGCGGTCCAGATATTTACAAAGTGGCCATGCTCACCTGTATAAGGGACCGTGTACATGCATGTATATAAAACTGCGGTCCAGGGCTGAGTTTTACTAATTTATTTAGCGCTACAGGTTTCTTTGGCCTGACATCCTTCAGCTTGTGAACGACATCAAAGATCTCACTTCATCCAAGCCAATATTAAAGTACTTCCCCAAGCTTAACAGGATATTGGATGATTTCTTCGCTTTTCTAAACTACAGTATTTAAACAGACACAATTGCATTTTAATTTTGTCTTTTCTTTTGTTTTGAAAAAAAATTGTTGCCATAAAACGTCTGTATCCCTAGCTCCTATTAAAACAATTAATAATACTAGAGAAAGAAAAGGAAAATGTATCGAGGCCTAAAACGAAAAGGAAATGTAGATACTCCGTGTTTGTTTTTAGGGGTCTTTAAACTGATATTTATAATCATCATATGAGAATATGTTCTAACCAATCATATAAAATTAGTAATTGATTTTCTGAAACCATAATACATTTACAATTTTACAATTTCCTCGATTATATTTAAAGGATAAGGTTAGTGCAGGCCAACTCGCCATGCACCAAAATCGCCACCCGATGACGAAATTGTGTCATATCACGTCATATTTACAGAAGATGTGACGTAAATAACGTCACCGTAGTCATCAGCACAGTCAAAGCTTTTAACAATTTTGACAAGAAGTGGTATAAGAAAAGAGCAATATTATGGATTTAAACAAAATCGCTTGTAACATGACGACGATCTAAAACATTTGGTCAGTGCGACGGACATCTCTTCAACTAATACGATCAATCTTACACATACAGATTGTGGTATATACCCCACACAGAGGAGAGGAAACAAGGGGTTCTTTTTGTTGNTATTCTTATATTTAAGAATTGTGTTTTCTGTGTTTTTAAACAAACTTAATCGACACATGTAAAATTACAACACAATCCCGTATACAGGTAAACATAACCACTTTGTACATGTACCTGGACCGTAGTTTTCTCCCCTCCTGGGGCATTTACGAAACTCGTCGGGTAAGGCCGAGGTGTGAAAATCCAGGTGAAGGGGAGCTTTAGGCAAACGAATGCAAATAACAAATACTATTCATTACGGTCAAACGGTATCGCATATCAGCTCTGTGTGTCAGGCACTGGTCAGGTAAAACTCCGGACACTCATAAAATTGTTATTTACCTGTTCTGTTACCTTGGAGCCAAACCCATTCTTGACAGCCTAACGGTCGCTGTAATACTGTGTAACACGCATTGTGAAATTGTATAATCTTGATTATTGTGATGAGAAATTACAGATA